TATGGATGGGTTGGGAAGGGTGTATGTGGGTGTATGGGAAAGTGTGGGTGATGGTCAGCGTGGGGGGAAATGAGGGGGAGGTGGGGTCTGGGAGAAAAGGAGGCTGAGTATGGGTCTAGGGGGCAGGAGCTCCTAGCACAGAAGGAACGGGTCTGATTCCTTAGCCAGCTGCTGCACCTGCGGGGAGATTCACAGCAGGCCAGTGGGCTGGTCCTCCGAGCTGCTGCAACCCCGCCTTTGGCACCAGCTTAAATCTGATTGCACACACGGGATACCTGCTGATTGGGGGGTTGGTGTTGGGCAGGCAAATGTAGGACTCAGGTGCACGATGCAATGAATACACAGCAAGGGGCACCGTTGGTTTGAGCGCCTGCAGATGGGAACACTGGGCAGATCGGAGGGGCTGTTGACAAATGACAAATACTTGCCACCAGCGGTGTCAGTTTCCTCGGGCACTTGCTTGGGGAAGTGTCTTTAGGGGATTGGGTATAGGGTTTGGCTTGCTGTTTTAAAGAAAGTGAGGAATTTCCCAGGCGTGTGTGTGTGTGTGTGTGTGTGTGTGTGTGTGTGTTAGGCCAGATTAAGTTAACTAGAGAAACCAATCCAGTGACACCCCTATATGTATAAGAAAGAGCTTAATATCAAGAAGTCGTTGTATATCAGGAAAACGTCCCAGCGCTGTCAGACTCTACTAGTCCATAAGCTGGATACTAGTCCATAAGTCTGATACTAGTCCATACGTTCTTCTTCAGACTCACGCAGCCACATGGCGATGATGCAAAATACAGGCAGATCACAGGCTGGTGGGTGAAAAATCTTGTGGATCCAATGGTGTTGGAAGTATCACTGGGCTCTGGCAGGTCTCAGCATGCCTCATCAACAGGAAGGTAAAAGCAGGATGGTCCCAGGACCCCCCTTAGGAGAAGGCCACACTCAGAAGCAGGTATGATCAGGCTTCTGCCAGATCGGTAGGCTAGACAGACTCCACCTGTATATTTCTATATATCAAGTTGACATGAGATTATGTAACTACCAGTGTGTGTGTGTGTGTGTGTGTGTGTGTGTGTGTGTCCCACGGTAATGGGCCTGACACTTTGCAGGAGGGGGGAATATGGATTTTAAAGGTAAAGGCCTAATTTTAGAATACAGAACCCCTTCACCTTTCTCCGGCTCTGGCATAACACTTACGACCAGGCAAGAGTTTTTCTATCTTACATATTTATTTGGCAAGTCCATGTCTTCCCCTACCAGATCTTTAAGATTCCGAAGAAGAGCCAGGGGCTTTTCCCGTTTTGCCCCCTCATATCCCCGGCGACTGGCAAGAACCCTTTTGTTGAATGAAGGTGTGAACAGCATGACAGACGATGACTATCACTCCCTCTTCCCCTACTTCCTTTCCACATCTCCTGTTACCAAGAGACGGGAGTGTTTAGAATCATGCAGTCCAGCGTCCAAAAACCCAGGGAAGAGACTCCGATTGGCTGGCTCATGACAGGTGCTACCCCCCATCCAATCAGCTGTCGCCCTGGGTGTCAAGCCATGAGGAACAAACATTGTTGCCTCTGAGGGTAAAGTTAAGGGGTCTCTAGGGACTAGGAAAATCTCAGCGTACTTATTCCGAACCAGGGCAGGTGGAGTCCCTGACTTGTCACCATGTCCTTCTACATTCCCTAGATTTGCCTGGTGACATCGTAGATAGCCTAGTAGGTGAGCCCTGGAGTCCCCAGGTAAAGACATCTGGGTCTGACTTACAGCTCTGCCACCTAGTTGTGTGACCTTCAGTAAGCCACTTTCGTCAGTCTGTCCCTCCGTTTCCACATCTACAAGATGAGGATCATGTTAACACAGACATCTTGGTTGAATGAGCTTGCAAGTTAGTACCATGCATGGTACCTGGCACAGAGCAAACGCTCAGTAAATGGTAGCAATGCGTTGACAGTGAGTTTGCAGAGGAAGCTCACGGGTGGATGATGTTGGACGAGGCCTCTGTTCTAGAATGATACCCAAGACCCCTGTTTGACAGGCCCTTCATTGAATCCCGGCTGCCTCTGGCTTCCCCTGGAGAGTTGATTGGCTTCCAGTGAGGCCTCTGGTGCCTGAATGTACCTATTTTGGGTGATGTGTTTTTGGCCTGATTTCCCTGAGTGGGGAGGCCGCCTGGGAGGATTCTGGCCTTGGCCTTCTCCCAGCACCTTTCAGTAGTCAGCCTTTTCCCGCAGCATCGCCCGAGGGAAACTCACTGCTGTTTGTGTCTTATAAGTTCCAACCTAATTCCTGTCCTACCCACACTTCCCTGGCAGATGACAAGGAAGCCAAACTTCAGAACTAGGGTGAGACAAGGATGAGGTGCCCCCCTGAGGGTCCCCATCACACCTGGGGGCTGTCCATGAATAAGTATTTGGGAGCTCAGCTTCCCTCACTGCCAAGTGAGGCAGGCCAGTCGGAATCTCAGCATTATTCTTGCTCAACTCCATGGTGTTTGGAAGACCCAT